CCTTATAATACACATCTCCCCCTGTAAATTAGCTCTGGCAACTGGTAAAAAATTTGAGAAAATTAGATTTAATACAAGCTACTAAATAACTGTGCATTTCCTGTTAACAGGATTATGTTCATGCTGCCATAAGTTTTTGAAGACATCCTTCAAAGAGTAGTATGAACAAGAACACAGGTTTTTTCATTAAGAATATAATCTACTGAAATTGGAGAAAATCCTTCACACAGAGCAAACCTAATCAGTCACTCTTTCCATGCTGCTAAAACACTCATCCTGCCAATATTTAAATATGATTCATTTTATGCACTGTGGAAAGGCTGTGAATATGTCTGCTGAACTTGAGCATGTAGTTACATCTTTGCAGCGGTGTTGCCTGCACACAGACTCCCAGCACCATGCTCAGTACTTCCTAATTGCTCCAGAAACTCAGAACTTCAGCTGCTCTTGTATATTCCCATACTTCCCCCATACCCCTTTCTCTCCTCAGGCACATGAATAAGATTTAAAATGAGTAAGACCTATACAAACGAGCAGAAAGGATATCAGATCATGCTCCTCTCTCACAATTTTTTAATTCTGTGACTTCTTTGGTACATAGGCAAAGCAGGTTCAGTTATGTCTCCTCTGGACAAACGCAGGGACACAGAGGAAAGCTCTGTGTGTTGGTGGGGATGCTCACTGGCAGAGCAATCCCTGTGCAGGCCAGAGGGCACAAAGCACTCTGAGGTTATGCTAGCACTGCCATTAGGCAAACCCAGCATCCACATTTCCCAGCAATGATTCAATGTTTGTAGCTCTGTTCGTGTTCAAAGTACCGTCCAAACACGAAGGCAATATCCTGTCTAGGTAGTCAGCCAGCAAGGCAATTTAAGCCAAGGTCACGTGCAGTGAAATGAGAGAGGCAGCAGGAGAGCACCTGTCCCTGCTCCCAAACCCAACAGAGACCACAGCCACAAGTGTCACTTCTCCCACTGGCAGGAATATCTCCTGCACGAGGAGTTCCCAAAGCATGGAGGTGCTCACAGAACTCTTGGAAAGGCAGGAATGACAGGAGATGGGAAAGTGGTGGCTAGGAGAGATGGGAGGGATGGAACAATTGAAGATCTTCTAAATATCATCAGTTAAAACTTTACAAACCATTTTCTATATGGAAATCAATATCCAACAGCAACTCAGGATGACAGGGAAGTGGCAACCAGATATCAAGCATGTTTGTATTCAACTCTTTGGGGTATAAATGAAATATAGTGACACATTGGGAGAACTAATAAAAAAGGCCAATGACTTTAAATATCTTTTGTGAATTTTGATTTTTTAAATTTTTTTAATATCTATGAATAAAAGAAGACAGATCCATGTAAAGTATAAATCCTTCTCAAGGCCTATCCATGTAATTGCTCAGTACAAATAAGGAATACCAAGGAAATAATGACCTTTTAGGCTTGCCTTAGCCAGCTGAATGGATTCAGCTTTGGCTCACACAGTTCATTTTACTATAATCTTTTCATGCTCCTAAATATTTACTGATGTTTATCAGCACAGAACTTCACATGTTTGTACACATTAAATAGTTTGAAACAGTTAGGTTTCCACTGTTAATAAACCTAAGTCATAAGTCTTCCTTGAACATAAATGCTGTATACATGAAAAATATGAGGGAGAAGGCAAAAAAAAAGGTAGTACAAGAATGACCTAGGTAGAAATGAAACTATATCTCAAAGAAAAGATCTTTTGCAAGGAAAAAGCAACACTCAATTTGCAAAGTATTATTATGGTTATTATGACCATTATTCACACATCAGGCTGCTAATGGGAAGCAAGTCAGTGTATCTGAAACAATGTAAGTGCTTTCCAACCACATCTGTAAACCAATCTAAACGGGAGCTTGCCCAAACTTACACACAAATACAACAAATACGACAGCACTCATACAAGCTAATTTTGGCTAGGAGAGGTAGTAAATACTGCCTGTGAATGTCAGGACCAGCTCAGCACTGATAAGCTTAACAACCGAAATTTTTTTGGATCAATCTTGGCACAGACATTAACACTTCAAGTTAAAATGTTTGGCAGGTTCACTGTCCCATTCCCAGTGCCCCACATCAGTTTCACAGGCTGTGCTGAGCAGATGACTATGATAACACTGCCTTGGAAGGCAGTGTAGCAGTGGATCACTTTTTTCAAGCAAAAGGAATCAGTGACAGCTGTCTATGTAAAAGTCTCTTCTGGTTTAACTGATATCATGGCTAAAAGAAGAATAGTAAGTCTACAGAACCTGGCTTTCTGTGATTTCCATCCTGCATCCTCAGTTCCCCCCATCTTGCAATTCCTTCAATTCATTAAACAGTCCCACTGAAATATTTCCTGGTACCTCCTAAGTGCTGCATCCTATTTTCCCATACACTTCAGTAGCCCCATCACTGCTAAGTCTGCCAATGGTGTGCAAGAGGCAGCTGCCCACTGTCAAACTGATTAATTAATACCAATCAATGGATTCAAAAAGTATCGAGGGAGGAGGCCCAATGGAGATATGTACATCTGACCTGTTTTCCTTGTTGCTTTAGGAAAACAGGCTAAGGAATTGCCCCTCTCTCTAACTGCAATTTTTTCCATCCCCAAAACAGAACAGATGCAGTTGTTACTACTCAATTGCATCAGGAAGTGTCTCCTTGACAGCAGAAACACGAGAGTACTACAGAGGTGAACACTGCATAACACTGAACATTGCATAACACTGAATTTTAACTCATGTGAACAGAATGATCCATAGATATCATATCACACAAGAGGAAACAAGCACTGTGCACGAGTATTGGAGAGGTAGCAAAATTACCTTGAAAAATCAGAAGAATTAATGTTAACAACGCAACAGTAAAAAGTTGTTGCAAAAAAATTTTCCACCGCAGACATCAATTAATGCAGTTCTCACACCAAAACCACTGATGTACAATCCCAAAGGGTGATGTAATTGTCACACATTCTTCTTTCCATGCATGGAATGCTTCAGAGACTATTGAAGGACACTGGGAATTTGTCCGAGAGACTGCAGCAACACACAGACTCAAAGCACAGGACAGCTTCTACATTTTATCTGGACATAAGATAACTTTTGAGATTTAAACAAGACATATAATTCCCACAATATCAAATTTAATTGAAAATTTTCACTTTTATGAACTTGAGCATGAAAACTTCTGCTCCTTGAAGGAGTGGATGGCAAAGTAAATACAGAAAAGCCATAAAGAAGGCGGTAAGCTAGATGACACAAAACCAGGTAGTTACTTCACTTCAGGGAAAAAAATGTGTTTCCTGGGCTTCCCTGAACCTGCTAACCTTGTCAGTCATAATTAGATGACAATGTAAATGCTCTGGGAATTCTGCAGAGGCATTCTCCAAAAAGAAATCTTACCCGTTTCTGAACATTTTGAAATGTAACTTCTCATCCGACTTGACTTTCACAAATTTAAGACAACCCAAAAAAGGCAAATGCAACATTATTAATTCAATAATTATTAATTCATAATTAATTCAAACTGGCCATTTATCATCCTGGCCAGCCACTCTGGTACCTCTGAAAAGAATTCCAAGCATCTGCTCAGACAAGATGAATTCTCCTTTTCCATTAACATCACACAAGAAACAAACCAGTGCAGTGATTCCAGCTAACGCCAGACACAGCATGCACAGAGACAGAAAAACAAAGGACTTATCAAGATTCACACATAAAGAGCAAGAGGCTTTTAGACGAGCAGGAGTTTTTAAGACTAGAATATCCCACACCAAGGAAGAGCTTGTCAATCCTAGTCTTTCGAGTCCTGTAAGTTTCACTTCCACTTTTCCTGAACTGAAACTAAATGTAACAATTGCAGCTTCAGTTTAAAAAAAACCCTCACCCTAACAAATAGTAACAAAGAGTTTCTCAAAGTGCACCTGAACAGAGCCTTTCTTGGGCTCCCCTTCCCCCCCCAAGATACTGCAAAGACTTCTGAAAAAGCTGATCCCTTCATGACAAGAAACGTTGCACTTTCGTGGGAATATTACATGAGATGAAAAAAGATCAAAGTAACTTTCGGTTACTTTGTTAAGGAAAAAGGGGCCAAAATATTTGTATTTACAGATCCTCAACAGGAATGACAGAAATTTCCAACCCTTTACATACCATAATGGTATTTCATACTTGCATGACTGGTATTCCAAGTTTCCATTTGCTACAGTAGTGCCAAAAATTATAGTACTACCCTAGCCCTCCTTCCATATGGAAGCGAAGAGTACAACCCATCATTAAAACACGACCACAAAAAATGTCCGTAAAAGTCCAAAAGTTCAGGCGTGAGTTCAGGGGAGAACACCGATGTTTTGGGAAGGAGTCCGGGAGGCACGGAGACAGGTGAGGAGCAGGGGCGGCAGCGCACGGACCGAGCGCACCCAGCACCTCCCGGCACGCACCGAGCCGGGGGACAGCCGCTCCCCCACGGGGGTGACGAGGAGCTCCGCATTCCCTCCGCAAATCGCTGGATCCAGCATTAACCTTACACCGCGGCGGGGCGCGAGGCGAGCCGCAGCCCGCGGGACCGCCCCTCGGCCCGGCCCCGCCGGGGGCCCGCGGCGCCGCTCGCCCACCTACCGTGCTCGGCGCTGGCGGCTGCTGCCATCCCGGAGCTGGAGCTGCTGCTGCTGCCTCCGCCTGCCCTCGCTCCGAGCTGATGCAACAGCGCGTCCGGAAGCCTCGCCCCGCCCGCCCTACGCTACTTCCGACGGGCAACCCGGCGTCACCCGGGCAACGGGCAGCGCCTCACGGCCCGGTCCGGCCTGGCCCGGCACCGCCCGGCCCCACACGGCACGGCCCGGCCAGGAAATGAGCACCCAGGGCACCGCGGTCACCCAACAGCACCGTGCCAACCGAGCCCCCCTCGCCTTTCCTTAAACAGCCCCAAAGATGGAGGCGCCGCCGCCACAACAAAGTCCCAGAGCCAGGTTCTGTCTGAGCCAGGCTTTTATTGCTGTGCTTCAAACATAGCGGTGCTGAGCGGTCCGATACAAAACAAATTGGTTTCGGAAACTAAAGCATCACAGTACAGAAGAACAGCAGTCCCCGTCCCCAGGCTGGGACAGCACTTCACAAACTAAGGGATGCCCGAGCTCCTGGCTCCGAAGTGGGCGTCCAGCACCTGTGTTTAATATTTTATGACTCAGAGGTAGGAAGGTCATGTAAACATGAAAACAACATAGCTATTACATCCCTTCCAGCTCTCTCCATGAGGTGAGGAGGCTGTCAACTCCGTTTCTACTAGCAGTTTCTGACACCCTCATTTAAAGAAAGTCTGAAGACACACATATGTATGCAGGAACATTTCTGCAGTTCCTCATAAACATTCATCTTCAGCTTCTACTTTACTTATAATGTTATTACTTTTTAAAGGGTTTGATACACTGTAACAAGTCTTGGTATCTATATGCATCAATGCATCCAGTAAATTAATAATACAGTGTTTCTTTCCCAGTCTGTTTTTCCAGATGAGAAGCATCTGATGTTATTGTTCTTCTCTATCATTAGTAAATTTAGAAATAATTTTATCAATATCATTTTTCTGTAGAAGAGTTCTCATAAGCTGCTTCCACTGTTGTGGTGGCTCTTCCTTTGTAAAGACATCAAAGGTCTCTCTCCGTTCTGCAAGAAGAAACACACATCAGCTTGTTTTAAAACACAGGGGTTTTTTCCCCATAGCTCACATACATGCTTTCCCCTTAATTTTCAGCCAATACCTGCTCAGACCGAACAGCAGCAGCAAGGCAGGGTTTGGCACCGAAGAAGCAGCAGGACAAATAAGTTTTCTACTAAGTGAAAGTAGCTAAAGGTATCAGTGCACTTCTCAGAAGTGGTCTCCTAAGGCAGGACACCATCGAGTAAAGGTGGTTTTGAGGAAGGCTTCATTGGCTGGCATGTTCCCTTGGCAGGGCTACTGGAGAGGAAGTTTTAACCACTTCACTATGCTGCTGCCATAGGTTTGCCCCACCAAGACCACCACGAGCAAAACCCAGCACAACAATTTGCTGGGTACAGGTGGGTGTATGGAGGTTTGATGTGCTCTTCCACAAGAGGGGACATTTGACTGAGAGATCTCTCACTCTGACCTACGCCTCACTCAGTAAAGCAGAGTACACTGCTGCAATGCAGACTCGTTTTAAAACATTTTCCAAAAATCTGTACCATTCTTACTCTTAAACTCATGACTGTGCTATACTCCCATGCAGAAAAGTCATGCTCCAAAGTAGAACAGCTCACCACGGGGATTAAAAATACAGCAATAATCCTGTTTCAGCATATTTTACAATAAACTGGAAGTGTTATAGCTCTATGCAAAATTTATTAGCCTCTTTATACTACTCCTTAAGGAGACTAAAGTCAACAGGAATAAAAATCAAATCCAAGTACAGCCAATTTATGGAACACTTACCATGCTGAGAGAGATCTTCAACAATTGGTTCTTGTACCTGTAATACAAAGTTGGACCATTACTCCAACAAATCAGGGCGCTTCACTCACTATTATTTTTTACCCATTTGACAGCTGGCTTTTACATCACACACAGGAAAGAGGGGACGGGCAGCAGATTTCAGAGCAGGCCTGAATGTACTGGGGTAAAGAAAATTGCATGGTGAAACAAGCACACTACTGGCTCCAAGGCAACATTTGCTGCTATCACAAAAGAGTAGCTTCTGTCAGGGAGATGAAAGAGGCAGAGTAAATTAAATGAGGGATTGAAGGTTTTTTTCCCTCAAACTATCACTTCCCCTACTTCCTATTACATCTTTAAAGCAAAGTTTCCACTATTGTTTTGCTGAAAGCTCTAGGAATAGTTACGAGCTCAACTAAAGGGATACCAATATTAGAGAAAATACAATGATCATTTCACACACGTACACTTATCTTACAATTTGCTGGAGTTCCATTTGGAACATTAGATAGCACAGTCTGCTGAAAAGCAGAATTCTGAACAAGTTTTGCTGCCAATGAGAACTTAGCAATCCTCCTCAACCACACTGCCATACGGCACTCCCAACTCCTGCACTGGACAGTGCCTGGCTCAGAAACCACACTAGGCTCCATTTGTAACATTAGATAGGACAGTCTGCTGAAAAAGCAGAATTCTGAACAGGTTTTGCTGCCAATGAGAACTTAGAAATCCTCCTCAACCACACGGCACTCCCAACTCCTGCACTGGACAGTGCCTGGCTCAGAAACCACACTATCTTCCACTATTTTCTTCTGGGAGAAGAAAAGGAAATACTTCAAGTTACCAGATGTCAGAGACATAACAGGAGAGCTGATAATCTGGCAAAGTAACAGCCTTTACAGAATTAGACTTGTAAGGTGTGAAGTTTCCCTCACTTGCCTCACAACCGTCACAAGGACAGAGACTGAGACCCTGAAGACCCTGCCTGGAGTTCTGGCCTGGCTGAGGGGGATGCTCGCCAGGTGATTGTCTGCAGGTGTGCCTGCTGTGTCACCACAGCACACTGCCTAGGGCAGGGGCTGGCAAGGAGCAGCTCGCTCTGTGTGCTTACACCTGCTTCACAACATCCGCTCAGCACAATAGCCCGTGGACCTCCCCACCTCCTGGCCAGATGCCACCCGCTTCAGACAAAGACGAACTTTCTGAGGTAACTTTGGTGATCCCCCAGAACATCCCTCACCTGCCTCACAATCACCATCAAGGATGGAGATTGAAGCCCCCCCCAAGGACTGAGACCCTTAAAATTCTAACATAGGGGTGCTGGGCTGGCTGAAATGGGATGTCTACCAAGTGTTGCCTGCAGGTGTGTTTGCTGGACCAAGACTGGTTTCCCATGGGAATCAGTCCCGAAACAATGGATCCTGCTCACTGCTGGGACTGAATTGTCCTATTCAGAACTGGACTGTCTGTACTTGTTCTCAATGGACTTATTCTCCACTGTCCTGTACCTGTTCCCTCAACATAAGACTGCAAAAGACCCCTGAGTTCACCAAAGACTTCGAGATTCTCCCCACTGTGACAAGACAGATCTATTGGCCAGAGCACGAGGATTTTGTATCTCCATTGGTAGCTAGTCCCCCCCACCTTGTCTCTCTCTATCCTTTATCTCCTTTCTAATCCTTCTATCACATTTGCTGAGGGCACTCAAGAAAAGGGGCATTTGTTTTGATTAATACTGCAAGGCCCCTGCTGTGTGTCTTTTGCACTCCGAGATCGGTGAAACGAACGACCACAGCCCCCACTAGTACTAGCAGATTGTGACAAAGTAGTTTCAGAGCCTGACTCTCCACCTTCCTGGCTGTTCTACACCCACCAGACTGCAGGGTAAGGCACACAAGTTACCTCCACAACAACCACAGGAAACTTTTCCTAATGTTCTTACTGATGTGGATTGCTGCTTGCTCCTCTCTAGGTACAGAAGGTAGGTACCCCTCCTAAGGCAGGAGGCAATTATACTGCCTTGCTGCACCTGAGATGACTAAACAGCACCAGGGGCCCCAAGCCTATTGCTGTGCCAAGGCTGATGCTCAGAGCTGTTACCAAGTAGCCTGTCAGCTCCATGGCAGTGCACTGCCTTGGGCTGGCTGTGGCTGAATTAACTTTCCTGGTGGGTTCACAAACTATAATCAGTTGAACGAAGCCAGTGAGCACCCATGTACATTGCATGGTTTTTGTGAAAGGGGAGAAAGAGGGAAGTCAGCAAGAAACACTCTTCATTTTTGGCATTACCAATTCATTAAACAAGCATAGCCAGGATGTACAGCACCAGATCAGTGTGAACAGTACAAGCACAAAGCAGAGTAGCATGTCTCACAGGATAGGTAGTGCTAAAGCTGGCAATAGGAATATTTTTTTGTGTGGAAAATGAGGATTAAGCATTCTGCCCCTGAGACTTGTGTTTATTAAGGTACAAGCCCTTTGTAAGCATAAGCCAGCATGTTTTCTGCTTGCACAGTGACAGTGATCCACAGGTGACACCACCCCAAGACCAACATGCATAAGTGGGGATGTGAGGAGGAACCCCCCTACATATGACAAAGGTAGTTGTACACCATTCTCACTGAAAACACTTGCTGTTTAAGGGTATAAACACATGAAAGAAGTTGATCTTATTTATACAGGATAATTCTTAAGCAGGAAAACAAATGACTGAAAGAGGACTGCCGTGGCTGACACTTTTGTTTCAAAACCCAGCATCAGCAATTCAAGTATCAGCAGTTGTTGGGGGCATTAGAGCAGTATGAATTCACTGGTTCTTTGGAAGGGAAGGTGTGTAGATGCCAAAATAGCCTCAGAACTGCATCAGTGTAACTCTCCTTAGCAAATAAGCTCTTACGGCAGGATCAGCACTCCAAGTGCAGACTTTGCATCTGCCTGTGACAGCTCTTAGATGAGAGACAAGTGCACCATGCACCAATTTGTAAATGCATCATTCTGCAACTATTTTATTGAAATTAAAGACATGCTATATTTGCTATTCCTATGCTACAGCATTTTGACCAGGATTTTTGTAATGTTTCTTCATCAGCTTCTACAAATAGATGAGGTGCTGCAAATCTGGCCAGGGTGTGAGGGGAGACACAACCCAACAAAAAACCTGGGGTGTTTCACATATTTGAGCCACTTATGGACCTTAAAAAAGAAAAAGAGCAGAGTTTAGGGTGAGCCTTCAAACATCTCTTTCAATTCTGTTTCTTCAGTCTTCAAGTATTTTTGGCATAATTAAGATGCATTTAATTACTCAAAATGTCTAATAAACAACATTAGACAAGAGCACATACTCTGGGTGGGTAATGCTCTGGTGAGGGTCAAGAGAAGCTCCAGGAAGAAAAGAAGTGCTGTACACACACTGAGAACAGTCTGGATATTTTTCCTAATTGCTCATCAAGACTAACATTTGTTGTTTAAAACTAAGACTGAGCTAATTTTTCCCTTTCCAGTGCTGGTAACAATGTAGTTTCTAACTAGAGAAGTTAAAAGCCAGCTTTAACTGGCTTTTACTTCATCCAGCTTTGTATTTATCTTGCAGAATGCTGGGAGTTTCTAACTAGAGAAGTTAAAGCCAGCTTGTATTTACTTCATCCAGCTTTGTATTTATCTTGCAGAATGCTGGACTAGCAATAGTTTTCAGACTCAAACAGTAAGTTCTGAAATAGTGTATGGCTACAGGATGCCAGGGTATACCCATCTTCAAGTCACAACATATGCCAGCCTCAGCTGGATAAACACTTTTAGGGATGCACTTTGAGACTGGCATGCTCTGAGCCCTGAACCTCTCCTCTTTTGGGACTGCTTAGGACCAAGAATTCAGACTGTCAGGTCCTGGTCTGTAGCTTGTGACACAAGCCCCAAGGCAGGAAGACTCAATCACTTCACTGCAACAGGAGTGGTTAAGTCTTATGAACAAATAATTTGTAGTCACATTGCAATGAGAGCTGGAACACCACCATGCTGCAACACCAACCAATAGCTGCCATCAGTTGGGGAATACACATGTGAAACAGCAAAAAATAAATTAATTGGATCAAGGTATCCCCTGGAGACAGTCTGAAGTGAAAACTTGCAGCTGGTCCAAGTTTTCTCCCCACTTCCAAAGCATCCTGGTCACAGACCCTCAAGTGTTTTCCATATTAACAAGGCCAACTGCAGCAGACACACGCAGCTATTGAATGCATCAGACACTTGCTAGTTAATTTTTGACCTTGTATGAGTCACAACTTGTTGCATCACAGGAACACATCCTATCAGAGATCTACAGTGAGACAAACATGGAGGGCTGTGTGTCAGGTACAATTAGGCTGTGAGCAATCAGACTGAGATAAAACACTTGGTCCATCGCATACTTACCAGATGTCCCTCTACATCTTCAACAGTTGAGACAGCTGAAAAACAAAATAAGTGTCTGAGAAACTTATAGGAATTGCAGAAACTTAAACATGGCTGAAATAACACAAGACTTACACACAATAGAAACTTTTGTAACATAGCCAAAGCTTTTAAAAGCCATTTAGTTCCTCTGACCTGTCATACATTTCACCCCAGTACTACCCTTAGCTTCCACCAACAGCACACTGTGCCTTAATCCTGCTTAGTAAAATGCAGACCACAAGATGCTGTCTGACTTTTAAGCCACTCTTGCAACCTCCCCTACTCCAGCTTTTGTTTCTCAGCATTTTTGTAGGCTATTGCAATACAGAAGGCAGAAACTGTCTTTACTGCAATACAATCAGTAAGACATGATTTCAACCAACTTAGCACTTAAGATTCACAATAGCTTTTAGTATTATTTTAACCACGCTAGTAGCAAAAATACTTTAAAACACAGTAGTGGAAATAGAAGTCTCCAAGGAAAACAGCTTAGTTTCCACTAAAAAATAAGTCCTGTGTGAATTTATCAACCTAACATTCACATTAAGAGGTTCAAATTACTAAAGGGAACCAATTTGCACCAAAAAAATCTCTACAACCAAACACAGTGAAAGCAATTAGTGATCTAATTAGTTGCTACTTTTTGCCTCATGCATGGGATCCCCCACACAGGTTTTTCCTCTTTGCCAATACAAGGCAAGTTGACTGGAGAAGTCCTTTTTTAAGGACCTTAAGATCTTGCTTTGAAGCAGAGGCATCTGCCAGCAAGATAAGAAAGCTTACAGTTAAGGATCATGCATTTTATTTACCAAGCAAAACTACTCTTCACTTTACTAATTTGCTAATTTCAATCACATGCAAAATGAACTAGAGCTTAAACAGGTCCCCTGTAAGGCAGCACAAGAACCAGGGACAGCCCTAGTGCATACTTTGCCTAACTCTAGAAAGCACATTTCATAGATAATAATCAAGCAGTTACCTTTATCACACTTCAGCTTTTTAACAGCAACAACAACAACACCAACTACTAGCAAAAACAAACTAAACAGAAGCACTGGAATAACCCAAACATGAGCTTCATTCCCTGCAAAGTAAGACAAAAAAAAATTAGTACTGAAACAGTCCCCCAAAAAGATATTCCTTGCTGTCCTAGAGAAAAATCTAAGCCCAGAACTAATACAATAACCCAGATAGTTCGTCCTGGGACTCTCATGGACACGTTGCCCTGAACACGTGGGCTCTTGTTTGCACTGCACATCATGCTCCCAAAGGCATCAGGGAACTCTGCAGAGAGCTGCAATACAACTTCCACAAGGTTTTATGGAGAGACACTTAAGGGGAAACAAGTGTGCAAATGATGATAGCAAGCTCTGGGTGCTGTAGCACAGACAGGGTGCATTCCTGGCAGAAGAGGAAGCTACTCCAGGCACAGTAAACACCTTCACACTACCCATACCTTTCAACTGTGTCACTCTTGGAACTTTAAGAACCCTGGCAACACATGTAGCTTTCCACCAAGTGAAACTCAAGGGGGTTTGCGGCATCGACCCCTTTGAGAACTTGTCTTTAGCAAAGTACTTCCAGACTAAAATGCAGCTGCTCTTAAATACATCACAGGAGTTGAAACCACTGTTTTACAGACTACTCTGGTGTTACTAGCCTGAAGCCACGGACCCAAGAAACCAAGGTGAGGGGGATTTATGTACCAGACCTTGATTGGTTAAGCCTAGTTCTGTAGTATCAGTGGAATTCAGCACAATTTCTTTCCCATCCGGATGCCTGAAGTGGACAGTAACAGAACATTGTATGAACATTTCCAGATCAGTCCATAGCTCTGTCCAGGCCTGATACTTTTTCAGACAGAGCTCAGAACCATGAATGGAACATAGATAAACTTTTATAGAGGTGTACCTTCAAACAATCCAAGATAAGACTACAAGATAAAATAAAAGCAAAGCAGATAAAATTAATGTACGTTAGCTTCTAAGTGGATGGGGGAAAAAAAAACCTCAGAGTATGAGCATTATTCATGCACAGTTAGTTTCCTTCAACAGGTAGGTCTGCATACTAAAATTTTAAGCTGGGTGCTAGAAAGTTCATTCAAGTGTGTTTCTGTGGAAATACCAACCTGAAGACATGAAAAATGTGGGTTTACATCCATAAGCAACAAGCACAATGATACCCAAGTCCACATCTTTCTAGGTCTCAACATCACAGGTTTTGACACCTAAAATTTAAATGCATGAATAATGCCATTTGGCTTCAGGACAATTATTTACAGCCCGATGACATGTGTTAACTATTGGCACAGATTGGGCCACAGCTCTAACATTCCCTAGAAGGAAAATAGCAACTTATTCTCAAACTTACTTTTGACTGCTTCTCTGACACATTTCACAGTCCTCATCATCACAGAAATACCCTTGTTTGCACTGACATTCAGCATCCTGTGTCAGATTACAGGGTCTCAGAGTTATCTGATCTAAAAATAAAATATAAGTTAGCAAGTGCAAAGATTATACTCAGGCAATAATAGCAACTTACTTTTAAGTTCAATATGCTCAATGAAGATCACATTAAAAAAGGGGGAAATTGTTAAGGTTTCATAAGGTTTGGTACCCTCTTTGCACTTTTTGCAAGGCAAGCATTCCTCTAAGCCGTTCTCATGGGCAGTAAAGCCTTTTCCTTCCTTGCAAGGTTCACATCTTCCTTTCAAATGCGAAGCACTGCAGTGATCAGCAACAAAGGTACCTGTGAGAAGTGACAGCAGAGCAATCTCAGGGGATCTTTTGACAGACACAGGGCCAAACTCAGATATTACAACAGACTTAGATATTATAACACAGATTTCTGGGAGAAGTTAAATTCTTCCTTGCGAATCAATCACATGCCACACAAACCAAGAGGCACAGGAGAGTCAGGAGGCACATGTGCAACCTGCTGCTCAGACAAGGGAGAGGTGCAAAATATCCTTGAGGTTATTTTGAGGTGTCTAGCAAGGCATCTGCTGGAAGGATGAGTCACCGCACAGGAGCCTGTGGATGGTACCACTGCTGAAGGAATGGGGCAAGCCCAGGGAGAACTGCTTTCAATAAACTTTTTTCTCCTTTGTCTGAACCCCACCTAAATGCACCAGTAAGCTCCTGATAATAACGAGAGGTTTCTTCCTGATGCAAAACTTGTTAGCACTGCACACATTGACCAAACAGAGGAGAGCAAAACCATACTGAAGCTTTGCCTACAGATACAGAAATATCAGAATTCCCCTAGGGCTGTTCTTGAACTAAATCACTTAACTTCAAAAACTTTATCCTCAACCACAAGCAAAGGCTTCCTGGTTTGATGCCAAAGCACCTCTCCCAGTCATCGCCTGTTGCGTTAAGGGGCTCTCACTTCAAAATGGAGCCCAGCCTCTACAGCACCAAGGAGTCCTCACAGCTCCAATCAGGCTCACACTTTCATAGCACGCAATGTAAGAAGCAATTGCCATCAGCTGTAACTGCTCAAAGTCTTACCTGCTTCACAAAACACACAGCAGAGATCTTGATGGGAGTACTCTCCCTCCCCACAGTTCGCTCGGGCTCTAGGCATCGTCAGGAGCACAGCCTACAGCGGAGGCAAGCAGGCCACTTGAGTGATTCATCCTCTGTGCACACGATAACTATCTTGGGGAGATTAACTTGTAAAGACTTGGAAACTCATTCAGAAGTTTATGGGAAGCCACAGAGGAAACCCAAACTAATTTCTGCTAAGTGGTGCTCACAGCAATAATTGCCATCACAAAGCTGGGGTTAAGGCAGCACCATGCAGCGGCTGATGGGCTTTAGGCAACTATTGCAACACATTCTCCATATAAACTTCTGGGTTTTTTCCACTATCTCACGGCAGTTGAGCTGCAGACGCCAAAGTTTCTGCGGAGTGCAAGGGATTAGTTTCTCCCTTCCCCCATCCTTTTAATTCATCAGAATCAGTGCTAGTCTCACTCCCGCAAAATTGAGGAAACGCCCCACAGACTCATCCAACATGTCTCACTGGCTCGAATCTTAAGCAGAAGACAAGTCGACTCATTAGCAATACTACAGGAGCATTGGGAATGACTTTTTTTTTTAAGAGGAAGAAAGGTGCAGACCGCGCACTCCCGGGCAGGGCTCCCCCTCAGCCTCCCAGTCCCGGTAGGTGCAAGCGCTTCCAGGGAGGGGCAGCTGAGTCACAGCCCTCCCGCTAGAGCAAAAGCAGCTGGAAGGGAAGGGACCGCCATCGAGCTCCCGATGCAACTTCTAAGCTAAAATCAAGAGAGTCCCGCTCTTTAAACTCTCTCCCCGGTAGAATGAAAATCTTCCCCGTAACTGTGGGGAGGTGAGAAAACTTCCAGTTTCACACTTAAATAACCCGAGGACTATTAAAGAACTCACTCCTGACTTGTAACGTTTTTTCCTCCGAGGAGAGGGGGAAGAGCGAGAGCGGTAGGAAGAGATGCAGAGACAGCATTCCCTGCGAGCGCTGCTTCGCGGCAGCGCCAGTGCCGCACGTTTCCCGAGACATCAAACACGAACAAAAAGTTCGGGAAAGTTACCAAAGTCTCTTGAAGAAGAAAAGGACAGAAAAACCCACAAGGCTCCTTCACGCTAGAGTTAGAGGAAGACTTTTTCCGCCTCAAAAGCCAGGATTTGGGTTCTGGCTGCGGACGGCCGGCAGCCGCCACTCGCGGCGGACAGGTGGAGGGTGAGCCCGCACCCTGCGGGCCGGACAGCCCCAGCCGGCACTTACCAGCAGCAGCAGCGGGCCGGACAGCCCCAGCCCGCACTTACCAGCAGCAGCCCCACCGCTCGCCCGGCTCCCATGACGGCCCGCATCACTCTGGGCCTGCCCCGCACCGCCGCCGCTCTTATTGCCGCAGGGCGGGGGCGGGAGCGCATCGCTGCCCCGCCTGTGCCCCGCCTCTGCCCGCGGACTCCCGGGCTCCCGGGCCGTCCCGCCTCAGAAAGTGCAGAAACCGCAGTTAATTACCGCAGGTGCCGAAGGGCTGTCCACCCTGACCACAAAGAGCGGCGGGAAAGGCTGTGAGGAGAAATCCCCCAACATTGCGCAAACGAAGGGCCTATAACTGGGTTTTCTGAAGCCCTAAAAGAGTTCTCACGTTTCTCCTCAGCAGTTATTCCTCCCAGAGAAATAACGTTTCTGGCCATGATTTTCCTCAAGAATACTTTTCGTTTCCCATGTGAATGTAACTGGCATGTAGGAACATTCACCTCCAGATTGTTGAAATTGGATTAAAATTAATGACACGAGGATTCATAGGCTGTTCCCTTTTGGATTATTTTTTAATCCTCCGTGGCAGCAGCCCTAAATGTTGGAAACTCTTCTGATCTGAATTAACTTGTTGGTAGTTTCTTTCACTGAACTGCTGCTCTTGTGGTAACTGTTTATTTTACTCAACCGCAGTTACAAGTCCCAGTGCAATCCCTGTGGGTGCATAGCTTGGTAAAATGGAAATAATTCAAACAATTTCCAGCACTCACATTTACACCTACTGAAGGCTTCCTGCCCAGCACTGCTTCTCTTTGGTTCAGGGGGCTTGGGTTGCTTGGGTTTTTTCCTGTTGTTGTTTGGTAACCACTTCCCAAAGCTGGGATACAATTGTATCCAAGGGATATAAACAGCCCTACTGATGTGAAGAGGCTCCTATCCATAACTCAAAACACAGGCTCCAAAACCAGGATGACAGTGATGAGGAAGGCTGTGCTGATAGGCCAGAGATGTGCTGACTTGCTGAAGCATTCCCAGGAGATTAGTGGATGTGTTTGCACAGCTTTACATCCATACTCTTGCATACATCCAAAGAGCAGCAAACACTTTGAAAACTCTCACTGAGTATTACACCACATGTGGCACAGGTCAGACTTCCTCAGAAAGAGTGACTAGGATGACGTCCTTCAGAAAGGCACCCAGTCTGTGTCAGTAATGTTGATATTCTCCAAGGATGTTTCCTCAAGGATGAAGAATGCTTTGGTTTTCTGGAGACTTGCTAATAACAAAGCCACTCTCACCCTTTAGCATTTGTGATCAGTTTCCTGAATGTCAGCTTCTGGATGCTGGCTCTTACCCTGCCTGTTCATATCAGAGAGCTGCAGTTCTCTCTGTGGAACAATCTATTCGTGATCCTCAAGTCCTTGATATAAAGGTTTCCCAAGTCCCAGATAAGTTTGTACATTTGCATGTACAAAAGTGAAAATCAAGGGAACCACTTCTCTTTCTGTGGAAGTTGCTACAATAAGAAGACAATTTCTGACAATTTCTGACAATTTCAGCCAGAGCAGTATCAAACTGCTATTGCTGTTCTAATTTATGGCCCAGATCTGACATTCTTAGAGGCAATTTCCTATAGATTTTCCTCTAGAAAGTCATTTACTTTTAAAACACTATCAAACACAAACCCAAAAATAATTTGTCAGATAGACTGCCACTGAAAGTTGTGTGTAGTTTTATTTCAACATATCAAGCACAAACAGGTTTCCCCTAACTGGGGAATATGACGAGGAATGTACTTAAAAATTTGGAAACATTTACATTGAAAGATAGCCCAGACTGGCACCACCACTAAGTATTTTAAGGCTGTATATATAGCAGTACTTACCACTTGGAACTACTTCAGGCCAGAAAAGAAAGGCTTAGTATTGTCTGCAGTCTACAGAAAATATTGCAAATCTTTAAAAAATGGTGTAAAATAGGAAGACTATTAACAGGGTTGAACAATGCAGTGGCAAAACCCTCCCTCTTTCCTGACCTTTGACAATAAATGTGCCTAAGACCGAACACACGTACACCTACGTCGCTCCCATCCTTCTCACCTATGCTGGGGCAGTGGATTTCTCTCTACAATGCTAGTGTGTGATATTATAAAACAGCCATATAGCAAATAATAACAATAATAGTAAGTGACCAGGTTTTACAAAGAGGCGTGCGTGTCTGACATCACACTCGATGGGCCAGACCCAGGACACCAGTCAGCTCCGTAACCAGACGAGGAGCTTTCACTGAATACCTCCCATTTCCTAAAGCAGGATGGCTCTAGGAAATTGTGTATATTTACAGTTTCTGTGGAATGGAAAATAAAACACATCCTGAGGTCCCATTCTGCATGGGCTGACTAAACAGATCATGACTTAATATCCCAGGGCTGGATTTTTTGGACCAAGTGTTCTCCCTCCTGTAATTAAAGGCAGCCGGACAGGCACCGTGGACATCAGTTCTTTACAGCTCCCCAACTGCTCTGCCTCACTCCTGGAGCTATGACCCAGGCCACCGTGAGTTTTCCAAAATGTTGAGGTGATTACCATTTTGGGGTTACCAATACTGCTGGGTAATTATTAATTGCATCAGAAAATGACAAAACATAGAAAACAAATTGCACAATTAAAGCTACATTTGGCTTCAGCATTAAGGCCCATACAGGTTAAGAGGTCCTTGAAGATGTACATGTAAAAGGCAAAAATGACATAATCTGCAGGAACAAAGTTTTGCAGGTTCCTAGGTCCCTTTTTAACCTCGTTTTTCCACTTCCTTCCACCTCTGCTGTGTTGGTTCTAAAGTGCTTTGGTGCCTCGCTGGGCTCCTTGCGCGAGTGGCCCCCTCCTGCAGCCAGTGATCATTATTGCTGCCAAACGTAGTGATTTTATTTGAAGACATAATTAATGAAGAGTTGACACGTAAGAAAGATGCAGAGGAGAAACCAACAGCGAGAGTCCAGGAGGAAGCTTTCAGAAGAGGCCTTCCTGTGGAAGGACTTTTTGTTCAGAGCGCTGAGGTTTCTGCAAAAGAAAGCAATAGGATTACTTGTGTGTTGGAGACAGGCGTGCCTTCACATGTGTGCATACCGAGAACTTCCACACCAGGAGGGAACCCTGTACTTTGGTGACACCCTCAGGGGTAGAGCAGTGTGCCCCCCCTGACTTTGCCTCCCTCTTTTTAACAGGAAGATTAGTGCTTCTGGCTGCAGCTGGTTGGCATAGGAAAGGCACAAACCCCAAGAAATCTCTTCATCCAGCACTCACTCACAGTCCTGTGAGTTTAACCGGTGCTCTAAGCTTCCCAAACCTGCCCCAGACACTCCCAGGAGCTACAGTGGAGCTAAAACCATATCACCAATGACTCTGGCATCCAGAAAGGGTAGGCTTAATGTGTGATCCCACCTCACGGAAGCCTTGGCAGGGCTGGATAATACTCTTCACACAGAAGGGAATCAGTAGGGCTCCCTGGAGCAGAAGCAGCAGTTAATACCTCCCCACAGGAGTCTGCAGGGCAAATCCCTCTATCAGCAGCAGATGTGGTTACTGCCCCCCAGATGGCAACCAGCAATTTGTACAAAAACCTGGAGTTTAGTGCTTTTCTCCATGCAGCCCAGTTTTTCAGACCACACCCTTGCATCTCTGTGGCAAACTGAAGAAATTCCTAACATGCTGGACCAGAAGGGAGATATCACACATTCTTGCCTGGCAGAGATTTATTTTTAGCCGGGGCGTGGCCCAGTCCTTCTCAGTCAGGAGTACCTTGAACTGAGTAACATCCTGAGGTGATGCTTTTTGCCCAGAAACAGAGTGTTAAGAGGAAGTAAACTGTTTCAAGCAGAGTGTGGATTTGTCTTTCTGGTGTGATAAGCGGTTACTTTACCTGCAACAACTTGAACGGCACTCCTGCAGCTCTCTCCTGCTCAGAGACACTCTCAAGACCACAGTAAGGAGTTAAATGCCACAAGTTATCTTTAGCCCATTAAAATCATTGATTCATGACAGAAAATGGTTACCTGTGTATGTCCTGTTGGGCTTTCTGTAGGGATAAGACAGCTGAGTGAATTTCCTTCAGGTGATTCATTTCTTTCCCACACTGAGCGCACAGGCTTTCAAACCCTGTGGCAAAGCATTGAAGGACAATTATGTTTTGCATCACCATTCTGGTGGTAGTGAAACACAACACAGCAAGTGGGTGGCTGTGAACTAATTGTCTTTGCTAGGGGGGACATTTTCAGGAGGAAACATAGGAAGAAGGAGACAGGGAACAGAATCTTCCACCCAGAAGATCCAAGCCATTGTAAGAGGTTCTGTGACTCTGGGTCAGGGTGCTTCTCAGTCAGCTCTAAAGAAACAATGCTCCTCAGCTGAGGGGAGGAGAAGGGAGTGCTCACACCTGCTCACTCTCTCAAACATTCAAGGTCACCTCTAACAAAGGCAAAGAAAAGAGAGAGCAACACAGCCTGTTTGCTATGTGTTGATTGTATTTTTCCAATTTTGCCAGGAGTTGGGAAATCCTTGTTGTAAGGCAGAAAGAGCACATACAGAGAACAGAAAAGCAGAACATTCTCTGTGCTGCCTGTGGGCTGTTGGCCCATGGTATTAACTGGGCTGGGAAATGTCCTAGGGCTGGCACAAGAATTAAAGTACCAAGGCAAGAACATTAAAGCCTAACCCAGTGACACCAAAATACTTGCCATCATCATCTGAGAGCTCCTGCACTGACTCTGGCGTTGAACAGCTGCTCTCTGTGTTCTGGCTGTGGTTGGATGGCTGATCACTGGTTTTGCGGCGCCTGCAGTCTTTGGCAGACCTCTGGATAAAACAGATTAGAAGTTGACTCAGTCTTTATCACATTGAAGAAGTGTGTGATTGCTTTAAACAAAGTAATTTGGGGTGCTGGGAAATATGTGTGAGATTGTGAAGTTTGATTGCTTTCTCAGCAACTCCTAGTAGTTGGACTCTGGCAGCTACTTAAGCATATTATACATGTGCCCCATACAGAAGCATTTCCCCAAGTGACAACATTCTTAAGACACCTATCCAAATTATGCTTCTT